ATTTTTCGAATTTTAGGGGAAAAAAAAGCAGTTTTTAATTGGTTCAAATTAAAAAAAAGGGGAGTGGGGGAAAAAGTTGGAAACATTGGGGGAAAAGGTTAAAAAGGTTTTGAAAAAATTAAAAATTGTAAGAAAGCAAGAGGTTGTTTTGGTTTTGTTCCATTTTAAAGGGTTTAAAGCAAAAAGGAAAAAAATTTTTGTTGGAGGGGGAAAAATTTGGGGGTTTTTGAATAAGTAAAGAGGAAAAAAGGCCCCCCCCCCCCCCCTCGTGCTCTCTTTTTCTCAGCATCGGCGAGGATGATTTACCCTTCGAGGAAGTCCATCTTGCCGATGCTGAAATTATCTCGAAATGGGTATGTTTCATTTTCTGCACAGCAGGGCATTATAAATAGTACCAAATACAAAGCAAGCCAAGCTTCCCCCGCCCCCGCCCTCCCCCCCCCCCCAACAACAGGGCAACTTGACGAACATTATCACGTGGACCCTCAAAGATGAGGGCATCGACGGACGGCTGGAGGTGATGTGCGACTACTCTTTCGACCCCCGGGGGCGCATGAACACCTCCCTCCGAAAACACCTCCTTCTCCCGGACGGGATGCCCCGGGACCCGCAGGAGCTGGTCCGGGTGCTGCGGAGGGCGATGCCCTACGAGCTCTTCGATCCCGACGACCACGCCATGGAGACCACGGTGATTTTTTATTTTTTTGTAGGCCCGTTTTGTTGCCGCTATTCTGCTGAGGTGTGCTGTTATTGTGCGTGCTTTGTTCGTGTTTTCTTATTTTCTCTGTGTGCCTTTATTTCTAAGCGGGCATCGACCGTGCAGTGATAGCCGGCTGACCAATGAAGAAACGCGAGTATTTTTGTTTTTTCGGTTGTTTGGTTCCATTACTTCAAACGTTGACTGCGCAAACCGACTTGGCAGTCTTTAGCGTCGCCAACAAAGGTCCAGCCATCGAATTCAAAGCACATAGTATATGTATGGGGTGAAATTCTGCTTTTGGAGTTTGTGGTGGGGTAGTTCGTGCATTGCCGAGAGGAAAATATTGGTGGTATGGTGGTGAATATATCCCTACATCGGCGATGGACAGCAGTGTTTTTCTTGCTTGGTGTTGGCTTGTGTGCCGTGTGACACGAGATCACGATTGGTTCAGCATGAGTTGTATTATTTTCTGAGTATTTTATGCACAGCCTCCAATCGTGCGGAGACGGATTGGGTGGGTGCGGGAAACGGGACGAAGAGCTATCCCATCATTGGCATCGTTTTGAGGTGATCTCCAAGAAGCGCTAAGACTAGCAGCAGCAGCAGACACAAAACAAACACTAAAAGAGTGTTTCGCATGTGTCACGATCCCCAAAACATGTCTTCATTTTTATAGCCTGCCCGTTGCAACTTGCCGTTCGTCCATCCCGCCAGTTCCTCGATGACACCCTACGCATCGTGAAGCACAGAGGGCCCAAGTTTGAAGGGTTGGTCAACATCTTCGCGCGCCGCGCCACCGCCAAGGACAGCACCACTGACGCCGAAGCAGGCTGAGAAACAAATCTAGGGGCTGAAGCGGCAACGCAAAAAGCTAGCTGGTTGGTCTACGTTGGTGGGCGCCGATGGAGGCGGGCGCGGAAGAGACGGCAGGCGGCAGTGGCAGAGGCGGAAGATATGTCAGATACGCGGGGAGGGTTGGGATGGGTTTCACCAGTAGGGAGGGATGTTCTAAGAAGGGCGGGTCAGGCGGACCCCTGTTGGGTTAGTTGTTGGTGGGCCTCTTTTTACGCCGTCCGGGTCCCGCACCAGCACACGTCCGAGTGGCGGGCGGGCGTGTCCGCTGGCGTTGTAAGTATAACGAAAAAGTACGGCACTGTCTCGTGTCGTTGTTGGTCTCTTTGCAGCTGGTAGAGTCGCCGTCGTGCTGGGCTGATGCACTCGTAGACTAGGAAAGGGGTGCTGAATAGTTTCCAGACACTTGGGGGAGGGGGGGGGGTGAAGATAATGCAGATATTATACATGCCTTTTTGTTTTGTTTGGTTTATTTGGTTTACTCTCGAAGTGATTTTGTGCCAAGGCAAGAAGTAGCGGTGTCACGCGTTGATGTGGAGTGATGAACGCCATGAAACGTTTCACATCGTGGCCTGACGGCTCCGTACGATACTGACGTCGCTCCTGTTATAAATAGTTCTCCTGTGTGTCACGGTAGGAGGGCGGCGTAGAACCACCCGATCGAGCGGTTATATTGATGGTAGCAGATATGATGGATTTTTATCGGCGTTACACGCCAAGGGATACATACCAAGAGAACACTCGTTGGGTGCGTGCTGAAGCTCTTTTTTCCCGTGACGAAGGACGCTTAAGTCCTGATATGTGCCACCGGACAAGAGTAGCACGCGTCGTGGGCTGGCACACACCGGACGCTTGACCTCAAGCACCGCCGCCGTGCTTGTGTGTCGCCGAGGTGTTTGGATGCGTTTTACATGGTTTGCCTTCTTCATGATTTGTTGCTCGACAGAGCGACACGTTCATGTGTGTAGGGCATCCTGACGATGCAGCGTTTGTGTGTCGCGACAGACCCGAGCATCGCGAGACACGAAAAAGTGGAACCCAAACGAAATCCTCTGTAAATAACGCGTCCTCCAGCAGCAAACGCACGTGCGTCATTCCAGCGATGTGATAGTCGGGACAAGGATGAATAGGCGAGAAAGCGATATTTTCCCAGACCGGTGTGACGATATGGGTCGTTCCGTGTGGCACTCGCTGTGGGTAAGAAAGCCTTTGGTGGGAACGCCCCCACGTAGACTTCATCGTTCCCGGGGGGGGGGGGGGGGGGGGAAGCCCCCCCTTTTTTTAAAAAAGGACTAACTTTTGGGGGGGGGGGGGCCCCGAAACAAGAAAAAAAAATTCTTCCCGGGGGGGGGGGGGGCAAAAACTTCCCCCCTGGTTTTTTTTGTTGGTTGGGGCCAACCAAAAACCCCAAAAGAAAGGGGGGAAAAAAACAATTTTCCTAAAAGTGGGATCCCCCGGAACCCTTTTAGGGACCCGGGCAAAAGGTTCAAAACCCGGGGACCCCAGTTTTTTTTGAAAAGGGGTTTTTTCCTTTTTTCCCTTCCCGGGCCGGGGGGAAAACCCCTTTTCCTTTTTTCCCCCAAGGGAAAAAGGGGTGCGCTCCTTTCCCCTTTCAAAACCAAAGGAAAAAACCCCCGGGGGGGGGGGGGGGGGGGAAA